GAAAAATGGAAATTTCTGAAATCCTGCGGGGTAACTAAGACTTTATGTTCATACATGATTAAATTTGCTTTAGCGCAATTAATTTCGGATTTGACAAAAATTTTATTACCACCAAAAATAAAAAAAAATTTTTTTTAACATAATTGTACCCCTCAGGGTTTAATGAATGATAAGAAATTATAGTCAATCCTAAAAATTCCATATAACTCAAAATCCATCAAATTTGAAGAAAAGGAAAAGGACCTTATTTGATTTAATGATTGAAATTATATGTCTTGGTAGTATTTGTCTTGGTAGTAAAAGATTAAATCAATCTACTAATGAAAAATGAGAAAAAACACTTATAATTTTTCACGCGAAAAAAGATAGGACAGAAAAAAATTTTTTAGGGCTTAATTTTACCTCTATGTATATTTAGGCATAAGAACAAAAATTTTCCAGAAATTAGATTCAATATTTTAAAGAACAAATTCCATAATCAAAATAAAGGAAAACGAGTAAGTTTTTCCGTAGTGTGTCGGGAAACATCGTTCATATTTTTTGTACCCCGCGGGGATAAAAATAAAATCAGTCAAGAATAAGGAGAGTGTAATAAATGAGAGAATTAAATTGTAATGTGAATATAGATAGAAAGATTACACTAAAAACACTTGTATAAAGCAATTTGTGCTTGTGAAAATAAAATTTAAAAAAATTTTTTATAGATAGATAAAAAAATTGCGTGAGAAAAAAAATAAAAATTGTTTTGATAAGTTTTTAGAGATATCCCTAGGCCTTCTCAGGGATTTAGTTTTTATAACTAAATTATTACAATTTTTTAGAGTGGAGTTTTCAGCCCCTAGAGAATGTTAAAAGTAATGAATGATAGTTGTTTTTTGTTGATTATTTTCGATAATTTTACATATATTTACCCCGCGGGGTTTTGATAAAAGTAAAAAATCAATATGAAAGTTTATTTTGAAAAGAATGATTTATTAAGGAAAATTTTTCAATTTTTTAGAGCAAAATTACTATAATATTATGGGAATTAAAAAAATAATATTAAAAAAATCTTTGGAAAAAAGTTTTTCCTATTTTCGAAACCTAAATTTTCGATTACATGTCTAACGGAGGTCAAAAAAATTTATAATGTTTAAAATACCTAAAAATTTACTTATAACCATTATTTCTTTGTTATTTAATTTGTAATAATTATCATAGATGAACCCCTCAGGGTTTATATATATTTTTAAAAAAGTTAATCAAAATATTATAAATGTAGAATTAAAATCAATTTACAAAAAATGAGATTTTACTGAGAAATGTTGTAATAAAGTAATAAAAACAAATAATTACTTTAAATTAAAAAATTCTTAGCAATATATTTTAATAAGGGAATTTCCTTTTTTAACTTCTGTATTTTTTTTAAAAAATATTATTTACCAAAATTCATATTGAATTCATGAAATAACTGAAACTTACTTACAAAAAGTTGAAGGTTTTGAAAATAATTTCCATTTCGAAAAGATCATTTGTATTAGTAATAAATTTTGAATCTCCCGCGGGATGCAGAACAAGTTTGTTTAAGTTGTCAAATATGTGTTATTCATTGAATTTGCTGACATTCTTGAGATGATCAGTCGTAATAGATTAATAAAGAACATTCAGAAAATAATAAAGTCCAATGAAAAATGTTCATAAAGAGAAAATAGAGAATGCCGCAGCATTTTTTAACATTTAACTAATAGTAACACAGAGGTATTATGATATATCGGGATTTCTAACTAGAGGCTATTTTTATTTCTCCCTAAAATAGTCTATTTGGATGGCCTCCTCGGAGGGTTAAATATTTTCATTAAATTCTTTAATTTTTATTTAATAATCTTTTTTTTTAATATTCTAAAATTACCCCCACTATATTTTATTAAATTCCTCATTCAAAAATTAATTTATTAGAATCGGGGTTCTGATGATAAAAATATAAATGGCCTCCGCAGAGGATAGATCACTTAAAAATTAACCCCCATATTTTATAAAATCTTCATTCAAATATTAATTTATTATTCAAATGGGGGTTACTGAGGAAAGAATAATTTGCTAGTTTATTTTTCTATTATTATAATTTTTTTAATGATTTTCCTCTTAAAATAAATTTAATATAAATGGCCTCCGCAGAGGATAGATCACTCTTAAAATTACCCCCTAATATTTTATAAAATCTTCATTCAAAAATTAATTAATGTCAAAATGGGGGACCTAGGATTTTGAGCGCGAAATTTATTCATTCATAAAATAATCTAATAATAAAATTGAACCGCGGATTTTGAGGCCAAATAATAAATCTAAATCCATCTTTTAAAAATTCCCCAACCTATTTCTAACTCAAAATTTTCTCGGCAAAGGTGAGGAACCATCCGGTGCTACCAGTAAAGCGGTTGGTCCCGTTCCCCAGTACCTCATTGTTTAGTTGTTGTTATAAGCAGAGTCGCGCATGCTTGCAATCATGTGTGAACTCCGCAGAGTATAGAAATAAGTTAATCGCTCGCAGTGGGGGAATATAGGAAGGGCCCTTCTCTATAAGACTCGATGGATTGGCCGGCCGGCAACTCTGTTGAATGAATGAAGAAGTGATCTGCCTTTGCCTATTTCATTAGAGCTTATATGCACCAGCCTACTTCCTTATTGCTTTCCCAAGGATAAGTTAGTGGCGATAATAAACTTAGATAATAGGCGGCTAATAACTCTCTGGGAATGGACGTTTGTTCGTTCTTTGCCTTTTCTCTGGGAACTTCCGTTACTTAGCGCAAAGTTTATAGCGACATTATAGTTCACGTGATTCCAGGATGATATCCGCCTTACAATATTAATTCATTCTAATATTCAAATTTTTTATTCAATAGACACCCTCGCTAATCCCCATTTATTCTCATTAATCGCTAATATAATTAATGAATATATACTAAATTAATTAAAAACATTCTTGTTATCTGTCTAAAATTTATGGGCATTTCTTCTGATCAATACAAAGATTTTTTTTCATTCCGAACATAGCCATCAATGCAATAACAATTTGGCTTACAAACATCTTCACATACTTTATCCGCACAACTACCATCACAACCACAAAGTTTGAGCTTTTCATTTTTTCTACAACCGCTACCTTTAATTTAAAATTATAATTAATTTTTATATAAATTTCTAGCCTTCAGCCTTACCATAATTAATCAACAAAACAAAAATTAATAATAAAATAATTAGTTTTGAAGTTGAAAAATTCATTATTTTAAGAATTTAATTATTTATTTAATTTTTAAAAATGCTCTACATTTAAATAAATTTTAACTAATAATTATTAAATTTTTAGTCATTTATTAGCAAATTAACTCAAAAAAATTTAAAAAAATTTTTGAAAGCTTCAAAAAACCGCGAGATATATTCAACCGTTGTCTGCGAATTACTTATATAAAAGTAAAACCGAACTGAATTAATTTTAAAAAATCCGGCCGGATGATCGACTCCAAAATCCAGCTTCTAAATTGGAAAAAAATTCAAGGCCCTAATATAATTGTTTAGTTTATATTAGTGATCGGGAAAATCTACCTCTTTTTATACGAAAATGGAAACCTTAAAATAATGAACGTTAAGTGGGTGGGTTAGTCAATATAAGTGTTTACTAGGAAAGTATTAACAGACATATTAATCACGTGATCTTTAGACTTTTCTGCTCGAATTCATCTGACACATAAAATTTTTTCTAGTTTTATTAACATAAAAATTTATAAATATAGTCCTTAATATAGACATACTATCCTTTTTAATATTTAAATCTTTTATTCAATACATTCACTAACCACATTTACATGAAAATAAAAAATATTTAGGAAATTTTGTATTTACTTACATATAACAATGATTTTTTACTTTTTTTCATTTTTAAATATACCTAATCATTATTATTAATATAGTATTTCCACAAAAATAATTTTGCATATTAAATTCATAGTTTTTGATTATTTTGTAGCCTACAATTATTAATATTAGACTATATTTAATTTAATATTTAAATTAAACATACAAATTGTGTTGTCAAAGCAACAAAAATAATTTTTCAGATAATTTGAAGAAAAATGCAAGCTAAAATTAATCTCCCCCCCCCCCCCCAGGGATACTGCTAACATAAATAAATATAAATTCACGATTTAGAGAATCGGGAATTCCCGATTTTTGTGAATTTTATTGGCCATTGAATAGAGATATGTAGATGATGGACAACAAAAATTCAATAGTTTGTGTGTGCAAATAAGGACCGTCGTTTTCGTTATATTTTTCATGTAGATTTAAAATTATTATTCGATAAAAATATTTTTTCAACATTATACTTTATCATATACTTAATTTTTATTGCCAAAAGCAAAAAAAATAAAAATAGGTAAAGAGAAAAAATCTTCAATATTACCATTTTCAGTTTACAATTCGCGAATCGGGATTCCCAACAACAGAAAACCCGGAATTCCCGATTTTCGTGTATTGGCGACGACAGGATTCTTGGTACATAAAAGTTTCCATTTTTAGCGGCAAAAAAAATTTTATTTTAGTGGCAACAATTTTTTAAAACAATTCTCTCTCCATCTGTTCAAATAATTAATAATTATTCTCCATTATTAATTATTTAGAAGCCTAAAATTAAATGAAAAATTTTATTTCGATTAAAAATCAATTTACTATTTAATTTCCTTTTTTCTAAATTGTATAGATATTTTATTATTTTTAAAAATTTGTATCATTTAATTATTAATAAAATAATAAAAAAATAATCAACTTTTACCCTTTTTTGTAAAAGTTGATGGAAAAAAATTTATTAAATTATTTGAGTGGGTTAGCTGTTAAGGTTCAAGTTAATATTAATTTGATTTTTGGTTCGAACCTTAGCGTAAGAACATAAGTTCTTCAACCTCTTTCTCTTGGAATAATTTTTCGGGAAAGAAGAAAAATTAAAAAAAATTTTTTTAGAGAGATTATCAATGGAAATAAATAAAAATAAATTTCAATTGGTAAAGAAAAATACTTCATTTCCAGCTAAATGTTGTATTTGTGGATATATTGCTAGCGGTTTTATTTATTATAATGTTATGTGTTGTGATGGTATGTATAAAAATATGTCCAAAATATTTTTTCAATTTTAATTTTTCCAAAGGTTGTAAACATTTTTTTCGACGTTCTCTTAATGCGGAAGAATTGTTCAAATGTAAATTTGATGGGAATTGTGATGTTATGAGAGGTATGGAATTTATGAAAATTTGCGGATTTAATGACTTAAGTTTAATTAAATTAATTTAATTAACTTAATTTTAATTTAATGATATTTACTCCTTTTTATTGCACCTCTGAAGAGTAACACACACTTATACAGTGGATTGTGGTTGAGTGGATTTTTCTAATTTTTTAGCACAGTTTGATGATTCCGGTTCAACCCCAAACATGATTTATCATCATCGAATTTATTTTCAGTATTTTTTAGAAGCGGACTCCAAAAAAGAATTCGGGCTTTCTAAACTAAGCGATGCCGATCCTGAGAAATCCCGAATATTCTGCCTTAACCAAAGAATCTGGCCCCGCCCAAAGAATTTAGCTCAAAAACGAAATTTGAAATCATTTTTTTCTTATCTGAATTATTTTCCAGTTAGAGTTGAACTGGAATAGAACTTTGCCTCTAAAACTAAAATGTTGCACACTCAATCACATTCATTAATTGTGAGCGATGCTAGAAGGTTCTCATTAATCTGATTAAATTTTTAAAGTGTCTAATAAATGCAAAGGCTGCCGTTTTGATAAATGTATTTTAATGGGAATGAATATACAAAAATTACGAAATCCACAACAATCTACTATCTCTTTATGGGAAATACGCTCAAAAATTGAACAACGATTGGGTGAACTTGCCTTAGTTGGGAAATATCCTGAAAAAAGAAATAAAATTTTTGCGAGCAGTGAGGGAACTGATTTCTCGTTTATGGTAAAAAATACGTTTAAATATACAATTAGTATTTATCTGCTAAAACAGACCTTACATACACCCTCGGGGCTTAAAAATTTTATCTAAGAATTGAATGTAGCAGGAGTGTGCCGAAACGGATTTTAAAAGGCGAAAGTCAATTTAAAAAAGCGACACGCGGAACGCAAAACTGGCACACCCCTGGAATGTATCTGTAAGTACGCTTAGGCAGTTCCTAAACCCAGTAACGAAAAATATTTTGAAAGCAGGGTGCTTTTCGATTATGACGGCAGAAGTCCGTTAGTTTTATATATTACTATTTTAACATTAATGGTTGCCTAAATACAACTAATTTTAAAATATTCTTTAAGCAAACAATATTTTTTGAAAATGAAGAAACTAAAATAATTGGAAATTTATTATCATTAGAGGAAAGCGTTGAAAAGATTAGAAATTCGCCTACACAGATAACTGATAAAAATTATGATTTTTCTTATAAAACATTAGAGGAAGTAATCAATCGAAAAGAAAATTCAATTTTTTTATGTTATGAATATTTGGTTTGTTTTTAGTTATGGAGGGAAGGCGTTAATTTAACGACAATAAAAAGTTACTGTATGTACATATGTGCGGAAGCCTGTTTAGGAGAGATGTCTAAGACCAAAAAGTTCAGACTCGAGACCAAGACTACACCCCAAGACCATGAGTCTTGGACATCTCTACTGTTTAGTAGAACCAATCGTGTTTTGATTAATTCGTTAATCTTCGAACCCTCTTTTCGTGTTTTCGTATTAAGAATACGGGCTAAATCTGAATCCCCCCTCACCGATTCCCAATTTTTTTCTTAAGAGCTAAATAATGTTTTATATGTAAATTTAAATTTAATTGAAATTATTTTTTAATAAAGGAAGAACAAAACTTTCTACAATCGGATTATATTGAATTTGTTCACAAAAATGGCTTTTTTTCTTTACGACCTACTACATTAATTGAAGATTTAATTTTAATAATTGATATGGCAAAAACAATGACTTTCTTCTATAAATTGGAATTAACTGATATTGTAAAGATTTTTAGATTAATTATTTAAATATGGATCCCAAAAAGATATTCATGACATTTCTCTGTTTTAGTACCACAAGCCACATACAAAAAGCCACATAGCTTTTTGGATTATTTTAAAATTAACTAAGTAACTATTAAAACTAAACCAGATTCATTGACCGTAAGTCCCGAAAGCAAAGAAATATTACGGACACCAAAGTCGACTTTAAACTGTGAAAATCCTCAAAAAATTTTATGGAGAAAAAAATCTTTTTTATGCGCAAACTAGTACTAAAATAATATTTCTTTAAACAGATTTATCAAATTACCTATATATCTATGCCTCTTGTAGCGTTGGCAAACGTTTGGTACTCTTGTAATAGAAAGTCAAAAACAGTTATAACATCAGACGGAGTACCTGTAGTTGTAACCTTTAGTGGAGAATATTATAAAGGAGATTTTACGTAAAATTAAAAAAATATTTTTCAATATATTTTTTTAATTTTATAGATTAAATAAATTGCTACAAAAATTATTTGTAACATTTTTGGAACCTTATACTCGAGTACAAATGGATAATGAAGAATATGTACTTATCCGCTCCATAATTTTTTCACATTTTGTTACAAATGGTCTTAGCAAAGAAGGACAGAAATTTTTACTTTCCGAGTCAGAAAAATATTGTGGAATATTAATGAGAATGTTACAGGTATTTTTTAAGAAGATTGTTATCAGGGCTGGGCGCAGTTGAGGATTGCGTGAAATTGTGAGTTTTTTTTTTGACTTGCGGGTTGCGTTTACGGATTTTAAAGAGTTACGGATTTCGGCTGTGGAAATCTTTTCCCAATTGCCCCCAGCCTAATGATTATGGTCTTTTAATAATGTAAAATTATCATTAGAAACGTTATGGTCAACTAAGAGGAGCAACAAGATATGCAGAATTGCTTCATTTAGTCGAATTTTGCTTTAAATGCGGAAATCATTTAAGCATTTTCCTTAATTATGTGGATAATGTATTAGATCAAGGGCGTTTCGAGAAAGTAATGCCTGCGCCATTAATTGATCTTTGCCTCCGCTGCAAAAATGTGAAATTACCGGAAATTACAGGAATTTAAATTTTTTTAAACAAGGTTTCAGAACAGAAGTGACAAATCCTAATTGATGTAAATATTTCAAAAATGTTTTTGCATTTAAAATACAGCTACATATGTATGTATTAGGGTTGGAGATTTCGAATCGGGCCGACTTTCAAGTCATTTTTTCGGGCCTCATTTTTATCGAACCGGGCCGTTTGAGTCTTTTTCGTGCCAAAATTCGATGTCCAATTCGATCTTTCGAAACACTCTTTTGTCAAGATATTTTATTTGATTTTTCTAAGTGTTTAGACTCTTATTTTGATTTAAAAATTAGTAACTTTTTAATGACTTTTTTTAATTTAATTTAAAAATTAATGATTATTTATCTTCTTCTTCAAGTAATTCTTCATTTTCATCAATTTTGGCCGATTTTAAAAATGCTTTATTAACAAATTCAGAAACTGATCCAGTGACTGTTGAGAATAAATTGATTCTTGTCTGATCATTTATTTCATTATTTCCATTCCAATTTGTCTGATTTTTAAATTAAAATTTAAAATATAAATAAAAACAAACCGGAATTTCTACGTTTTCATTTGTTCACCTTCTCCATTTTACATTAATATTTAAAAAACGTTCATTTCTAAGACTTTCGGCAATAAAAAGACGTAAACTTTAATTTTTATTTATTTCTTTAAATTTATTTTTGAAACCACTAAAAATTACCGTGGATTCCTTCTATATTCTGAACGTACAGCTAATATCAATACAACCCCAAAAATTATTCCCAAAAATAGCCAAGGCACTAATTCTTTAAAATGTATAATTCCAACTTGTCGTGAACATTTTAATTTTAGATCAAAATAAAATTTGTCCTCATTTTCGGCAGAAGGTTGATATTCAACAGGGAGATGAGCTTAAAAAATTTAATTAAAAAATTATTATTTGAATTTTAAGAAAAAAATTTTGAAATAAAAAATTATTATAGTCAAATTTTTTAAATACATTTTTGGTGAGGGAGGGGGAGCTGTCTACCGTATTTACTCGATTAATTCCCAACCCTCAATTAATTCCCCATGCCAGGGATGAGTTAAAACAATAATTCCTCACCCCTGAATAATTCCGCTCCCTCGAATAATTCCCCACCCTACGGATGGGTTGAAATATTAATTCCCCTCCTTATAAGATGCTTTTTCCAACCCCAATGGGATTGTAAAGAGTTTCAACTGTCTAAATAAACTTTTATTTAATTTTACAATATAAATATTAAAATAATTTTAACAATTAATTCCTTGCTGAATTCTCTTAAATATATCCCAAATTACAGAGCAGAATTGATTCTCATTATAATTGGATGAATGTTTATTTAGTATAGAAATCTTAAAAATAAATGTATTTAATTTTAATTTAAAAAGAAAACTTGATATAAAGGATGAAAATCGTCATTATCTATTCGAACAAAAGAAATTCCAGAATCTTTTGGGAGCCATTCAAAATCTTTAATTAATTTTCCATATTTTTTAATAATTTCAAGAGATTTTGTAAAATTAAGAGTATTTTGTCGAAAACTTAAAATTGCACCTTTAAATAGAAATATAAATAAAGATTATTTAATTTAAAAAATTAATTAATTACCACATTGCTCGCAACATTGCCCTACAGGTTTCAAAGGAAGAGAACAATAATTATTAAGAGGCTCACAGTTAACAAAAGCACATAAAGCAGAAAATTGCTTTAAAATTTTAATTTAATTTTAAGGGATATTAATTAATAAATTAATTTTTCAACGTCTATGTGAACATATTTAAAAGGAGTGTAGCATAAATAGAAAATTGAATAGTATTTTTGGACCGTAAATATATTTTTGAAATATTTTTGACAATGGAATAAATTAAATTATTAATTATTTAATTAGGATTATCCAAAAATTAAATTTTGCACTTTTACCGGTTCAAAAAAATTTGAATTTGGACTTCCAAAAAATATTTCTCGTTCCTTCATCTTTTCATCCTTTTTACTTTTTTCTTCGTTTATTTTTAATACCAGACCAAGAGGTAAATTAAATAATAAAGATTTATTTAATTTTTTATATTCAATACTAACTCTATCACCAAGTATTAATTGAAGTTGGCCTTCTATTGTATATGGAAGATGTCTAAGTTGGTCATTAGACAATAACTAAATTTTAGTTAAAATATATTTAAATGTAAAATTTGAAAGGCTTAGATATATTTATGAAAAAGTATTCCAAAGCTTAGTCTTCCGAATTCGTAATTAAATCAAGAAAAAAAAATCAACCAATGCCAAAAATTGAGGACTATGTTTAAAATATTAATCCAAATATATGTATTTACTTTTAAAAGACATTTATTCTTCTTTAATTAATTTTTCAAATATAAGTAATTCGAGTATATATTTATTTTATTTTTATATAGAAATAATAAAAAAAAATTTACGTTTCCAGAGAAATTAAGTGACCGAACTTTAGTCTGTACATTTAAAGAGATTTTGGAGGATTTTTCCTTTGGAAACAGAACGTCATCCTTTAAAATAGTTTAGAAAATAAATTAAATTTTTTAAAAATATTTTATAATATTAACTAATTATTATCGTTAAGTCGCCAAGCAACAACTAAAACAAACAATCGAATAAACTCGGAGCATTTACTTCCCCGCACAAAACAAAAATCAAAACATAACCAATAATAGTCTTGAAAACATTTAGAGAAGCAAAACCCATAAAACATTCAAAAACTTTATAATAAAACTATCATAATCAGTGTCATCAACCTCTTAATCCGTTTAGCGTTTTTACTATTTAATTATTTTATTACATTCACTATAATCTACGTATTAATTTATTTTAATTTTTAATTTTAAAACATTTCAAATTTTTTAAATTAATTTTAAATTAATTTAGTACTTAATCAGGTGATACAACAAACAACACTTACTTAATTTTAATTTAACTAAAATAATTTACGAGAATATTCAAAAATTGCATCATTATTATTTTATTTATTTCATCAGATTATTCCTTTTCTCTATTATAAACTAAATTATTATAACCACTAAGTAATTCTTTTAGTTGTCAAACTACGAAGAATACAAAATAGAGAATGAATGAGAATTTAGAAAAAAAGATTAATGATTTTAATTTTTTTAATTTTATTTTAAATAAATAAAATTGTTGAAAATACCATCGTGTATATTCTAATATCTTCTTAATCCTCCCAAATCCCCTGATAACCTTACCTATTTATTGATTGAATGATTTAGAGGGCTTAAGCGATAGCTGAGAATTTGAGGAGTAAAATGATATCGAGAGATTAAAAAGATTTTGGGAAGATATCAAGGGATTGTCTCCAATGTTTTCTCCTTATAACAAAAAAACTAAAAAAATTAGCTTTTTTCGCCATTAGCTGATGTGTGTGTTTTGCCTTTCGTTATTTCCTTTCCGTTTATTAGATTAACTTTTGCTTTCCATTATTCGTCTTTCATTTTTTCAAAATCAGTTTTGAAACACCTCTGACTAATAATTAGTTGCTTTAATATGTCTAATTAAAACAATCTAATCAAGCAATTATTTAAAGCACTCAACAAACTTCTAATTTTGACGTACAATGTCAAAATTTATTTTTTAATTATTGGCTCATAATTTATATGAATATCTCTCTCTTTAATCCTCATTATTAACTTAGATGTTGTCTCGATTTTTCAAATTAACCCTAAACAAATTTTAATTTTTTTTTCTAAAAATACAAAAACCTGTATTTTGTTAGTTTATGGAAAGCTATGGTTTAAACTACACAAAGTACTAGATTAAACAGATAAATAGATATAAATTTGTTTTTTTCTCATTTTTTGATAATAAAAAGTGTTTAGGTAAAAATACCATTTTTGGAGTAATAAACAAAAATGAAAAGATTATTTGTGTTTGAGCATGATTGCATCAGTTTTGATACACGCTGCGCTCTTTTCTCTTTTTTTTTGTTATTAAATAAAATATTTTTGGTAAATAAAAATTATTTGTGTATAATGTTTTGGTAAAGCAAAACTTTGTTTTGGTCTTTAATCCTGAGTTTATATCCCTTTGATTAAGACTTTTCTTTTATCTCCTATCTCTTTATCTCTCTTCTCCTTTATCTCCCATCCTCCAGGTTTCTGATCATTCTTATTATGCTGATCAAATACGAGACCCTCTCCCCCCATTGTTTAACAAATGTTTGTGTTGTTCTGTGATCCTACTTCTTCCTTCACCCCCCCCCTCTTCCCCCTCCCCCCCCCCCCTCCTTCCCCTCAATCCCCCCCCCCCCCACATTCTCTCAACAATCCAAAATTATTCCCATTCCCATAGTAACACATCGAAAACGTCAAAGAAGTCACTGACAGCGATCTATTGAGCAGCGATTCAATAAAATAAAATTATTTGTTTGTTTCTTTCTTTGGGTGGCTGTTTTTGTGTGTGTGAAGGTTGATCAAAGAAATGATTGAAAAGAAAGGTACAACGAGACACACATTTCTTCTATTTTTCCTTTAATGGTATAATGATAAAAATTGCTGTAAAAGATGATTGATATGTTAATATTTAAAATTAAACACACGAGGATGATGAAAAAAAAAGAAAATAAAAACTTTAGTATATTTTCTGGTTTTTTAAAGAGAAAAAATTCTTTTTTTGATTTGACTTTTATTAAATGGTTATTTTTGGTATTTATTTTTTTATTAAATAAATATTTGTTAAATATGGAGTAGATTAATTGGAAAATAATAAAAGTATGATTAATAATTTTTAAAAAATTTAAGAAAAAAGTTTCAGACAAGCTGTAAATTATACTCGTTAATTTTTCTATTTGGTAAATAGACAGATTAATTAAGTAGAGAGAAATTAAAAAATGATTTTTTAAAAAGAAATTCTTTCATCATTTTTATTTTAAAGATAAAACAAATAAAAACTCAAAAAAAAGCAGAAAAGCAAACCCTTCGGGAAAAGAGAGAAAAAATCCTTCCCTTTATTTTCATAGTTGTTGTCTCTGACATTCAAACAAATGACTACGACTAACTTTTAATGTTAACGGAAATAAATATAAAACAAAAATTGCGTCAGGTTTATTCATTTCTTCCCACCCCTTTAATTTTCCCTTTAAAAATGGCCGTGTTTTGGTAATTTGGCAACAGTCTAATTTATTTTATTTTATTTTAAATTTTCTCTTTCATTTTCCCTCTTTTTTCCCTCAATATTTTAATAAATTTAAATATTCCCCCTTCCCTTTCTTTTTTAAAAATATTTTTTAAACTTTTTAAATTTACCTTTATCGAAGGAACTTTTTGAGCATCTAACAGAAATATATTTGATGAAATACTTTCTTCTTCTTCTTCATTTTCATCATACTCTTCTTTCTCTATTACACTTTTTACTTTTTTTATTTGCCAGTTGGCCCCATCAAAAAAATTTGGTTCGTCTATTTTTGGACTGTTGAATGATTCTAAATTTAGAAATTAATAAATAAATTAGACATTTTATTTAAATAATTTAAAGAAACCTTCTAAACATTGTTTCTTTTCTTTATTTTTTTCTTCTTCAATTTTAGCTTTATTTCCAAAGAAAATAATTCCATTTTCAGGTAATACTAAATTATAGACCTAAATTTATGTACATATATTTAAATATTCACTAAAAAATTATTTTAATATTTTTATTAAATTTTTAACAATTTTATTTTTAAATTATTTACTCTTTTGAATGTCAGACTTTAAAATTTTTAAAATAAAATTCCCAATAGTCTTTTTTTTATTTTAAATTAATTTTTCTTTTATTTTTCCCTCAATAATTATTGAGGGAAAAACCAATAATTTTTAAATACAATTTTTTTCTTTTAAAAAAGTAACGATTTTTTTTCTTTTATTCTTTTCAATATTTTCAAAAAAACCTTGCGGTTACGAGAATATAAACTTATATTTTGTTATTATTTTTAAAATATTTATTCAAAAAATTAAATAATTATTCTTGATACTTAAACAAAAAATTATTTCGACCAAAACGTAGGTGCTTGTTTTTGTTCAAAACTTCGATTAATAATTAGCTAAATTAATTAACTAATTAGGTAATAGTTAAGTTTGTGTTTCTCCTTTTTTTATTTTCCAAAATTCCCTCCTTTTGCCGTTCAATCAAAAGGATCTTGGACTTATTTACAAGAAAAATTGTAAACTTTGAGGAGGAAGTTGACCATTATGTACATTCTTAAGAAGGAAAAAAAGGGGAACTACAAACTTAACTATTACCACTAATTAGCTAATTATATTAGCTATTATATTAACCATAATTACCTATTTATATTGAAAAACAATTTTGTTAAAAAATCCCCGCAAATTTTACCCCAATTTTCGTTTAATTCTTTACTTGCCTTCATTTCCCCATCAAGTATTGCCACAAAAGAATTATTTTTATTTTCTCTTTTCTCGCAATTCTCTTTATTAATCCAATATTTTGTTTTAGACAGTTGGTTAGAGGGAATCCATTCGAAAAGTAAGCTTTCGGCCAAAAATTGTTTTAAAAAAGGAAATAAATAAATAATTATTAGAAAATTAAATAAGAATAATTTTGGCATTTTTTGTATTTTCTAATAATTAATTAAAATAAAGATTATTTAAAGCTTTAATTTTTCCGAATTTAATTTAAAAAATTTTTTTCTAATTTCTATTTTTAGTTACATTTTTATTTTTTTCAAAAAAAAATTTTTTATTAAATTTCCAATTACACAAAAATAAAATTCCTGTATTTTATTTAAATTGCAAAAACAAATATTTATTTTTATTTTCAGTTTATTTACTGATTGTAAAAAAACAAAAATACTTTTGTAGTAAAAATAGAAAAACAAAAATATTTGTACTTTTTTAAATAAAAATATTTTTTTCAAAAAAAAATATTTTTTAGGGATTAAAAAAGCTAAAAATTATTTTATAAAATAAAAATCAAAAAAAAATATTAATTTTTAGAAATTTATCAATAAAATATAATTATTAAATGTTTTCGAGAATAAATTAAAATGGACAACATTCATTCTCTCTCATTCAATTTTTGTTTATAATTCTCTTTAATTATTTAATTTAATACTTTTTTTTTTGTTTATTTTTGGTAGGGCCACGCGTTTCGTTCAAATTACAACAAAAAAAAAAGAATAATATTTTTCTCAAATAAAACAGGAATATTTTAAGTAAATAAATTTTGAGAGTTAATTATGATTTTGTTTTTTTTTAATTTAAAAATTAAACAAATATTTGTTTACTATTTTTGTGATCAATTTACTGAGACCAGTTATTTGGATCCACTCAGTCTTTAATTCTTTACTTTCTCGATGTTTAAAAAACATTTCCTGATTTCCTGAGGCTTCTTATTTTCTGTCAGAATAATTTCCGGAAATAAACAATGAAACTTTGTCTTGATTTTCTAAAAAATCTTCTAGTATCGAGTTACTTACCTTCTTACCCATGGGAAAATATTTAACAACCTAAATATTTTAGTATCAATTTATTTGAGCACATGGCGTTCAAAGTATACTATAAAGAAGGTATACAGCAGGCAGTAAAGGCCGATCATTCCATCACAAATTATTTTAACCTTCTTTTTATCATTCACCAAAACAATCTAAACTATCAATCAAAAATTATCTTTCTATTTATTTTACCTTCCCTTTTCTCTTTTTATTTTTTTCCCAAACGCACGTTGCCGGCTTTCGTCATCATTATAAATTTATTTGTCTTTGACATCTTTTTTTGTTAATTATTATTTTTATTTTCTCCGCCCATATTTACCCATAGCAGCGTTACTAAAATTATTATAAAATAGTACTAGTTTGCTCCCTGAATCTTCATTCTTCTAACCATTTTTAGAAAACAAAAATATTTTTGATGGTTCTACCTACCTTAATTTAACTTTATTATTATGAAATAATTAACTATAAAAGTTTCTATTTTGCTTATCAGTTTCCCTCAATTTCCACAATTTCCCCTTAATTATAATCATTTTTCAGATAATAGAGCATAATTAAAAGCTCTTTTCTAACTCAATTTATTCACTAAATCTTCTCATTAACTCAACTGATCTAAAAATGGTTAAACAACCAGAGACTCCACTCATTAATGGCAAATCCAATGGTTTTGCTACAAAGAATGGCATTTTGAATGGTAAAATTGCTAATGGAACAACAAATATTAGCAATGGACATTTACCTAATGATCAACAAATAAAAATTCGGTTGGCGAAGCCTGAGGACGCAAAAGTTTTGCGATCACTGATTCAAGAACTGGCAGACCATCAAGAAATGCCTGATGGACCTCGAATCTCTGCTGGACAGATTGCACAGGATTTTAGGTGGATTTTGGCATTTTTTGGAATTTTTTGAGTAATTTCGAAAAAAAATTTTCAGTTCTGGTTTTATGCATTCATTGGTAGCTTTTGGATCCAAAGGAGAAATGGCAGCTTATGCTCTTTATTATTTGCCTGGATCGAGTACTCAAGGACAAATATTGCATTTGGAGGATCTTTACATTCGACCACAATTTCGACGACGGGGGATTGGTCTACATTTGTTGAAGGAATTGGAAAAGGTGCTTAACTGTCTTTAACCAAAAATAATAATTATTTCTCCCGTCAGATTGCCAATGCTAAGCATCTTCCTTTCTTGGAATGGCAAGTATTACGTTCCAATCACGGGGCCATTCATTTTTACAAAACACTGCCAGGATTAATTGATGAGACTGATGGGAAGGAATTCAATAAATCTATCTTTTGGCGTTTATCTTCTCATGCATTCGGGCATATTTTGCGAAAGGCGGCGAAACAAGAGCAGAAGGAAAATCATGAAAAATTGGTAATAAATGAATATTTTTTGGAAAAAATTAGTTAAATTTTTCTCAGATAATGGAAGTTCATTTGGATGAATGCAGTGGCAGTGCTCAAATCTCTGAGAGAAACGCTTTTCACCTTGCTGATCAGTGGCATTCTTTGGTTAACTCGCAACGAAATGGGGAAATAATTAGAGAAGAGGAAGGAGAAGAGGAGAATAATGGAAGGAAGGCATATAAATTCCTCAATAGACGGGCTTTGGCAAAACAAATAAATTCTGGTTTACTTGGAGCTATTGTTGTAAGGAAAGAGCAAAAAGCAATAGAAGAAGAAAGGAAGAAAATTGTTGGGATGGCTTTCTTCCATAGAAGGAGTTATTCGACATGGCAAGGAAGGGTAAGGGATTCAGGAGAGAGAGAGAGACTTGAAATAATGCTTATTTCTTTTTTTAGTTCCCCGTTTTGGATAATATTTTTGTGGCGGATTCTGCTCGTCGAAAGGGTGTTGGAACTGCTATTATGGCAGAATTAGTTAAGGTAGTAATCAGAAATTGAATTTTAGACAATTTTTGAATAAAATATTTTTTAGATTGCTCACACAATGGGGGCAACTAAAATTCAATGGGATGCACATGAGCCAACTGCAATTAATTGCCAACACGTGCCTTTCTTCAAATCGGTTATTTTTTGAATATTATTGGCACAAACAAATCTTAAATTTTCCATTTTCACAAAAATGGACATTTGATCCAAAAAATTTATTTTTCTAATTTTTCAGTTAAATGCCGATAATTTAACTGACGACGAGGGCTGGTTGCTATACCGTTGGCATTATAACCAACAAAAACAATATACTAATGGAGAAATAACTGAAATTAAAGAAAATGGTGTTAGTAAAAAGAATAATATTTTGAATGGATGCTAGCTAATAAAAAGAGAAAAGAAAATTTTTAAAAAAATTTAGGGATAAAGCAAAATATAAAAATAATTTTATTTAAATTTTCATGCATTTCCTTTCATTTTTTCTTTCTGTTCATTGTTGGCAACGATTACTTTCCTTTTAACCATTTTTTCTTTTTTTATAATATTATCTTTTAAAAGTAATGGAATTTAATAAATATTTTAAATAATTGGAAAGCTTTATTTTTTAATTAAAAAATGACAAAATTAAATGAATGATTCTAATAAATAAAAAAATTGGCAACAAATGTGAATTAAGTAAAAAATAAGAAATAGGGTGGAATATACAAAAAGTAGGAAATAATAAAAAAGTTGAAGGAACAAGGAAATTAATAGTTTCCTACCCAAAATCGAAACACTTTTATGTATTTAATTTTTGTTTTATTATTAATTTTAAGTTCGAATCTAGGCGTGGGCTTATGCTGGGGGTCGATTTCAGGGGGGAGGGCTAAAATGGGGAAATAAAAATTTTGTGGTTATAGGGGGAAAAAATTCACTTTTTGATTATATTCTTCCCAAAATTTTTTCATTTTCCCCATTTCAGAGGGTTGGCTATAGCCCTCATCCTCTGGCTACGCCCTTGAATCTAGGTATTTTTAGATAACTTAATCATAAAGTAATTTTTATTTTTAATATCCCATCTCTTATATATTTTAAGGTCGAAATTTATTCCCAAAATTAATTGTTTTAACTTCAATAAATAAATTGTAATAAAGAGAAAAAAAAGAAAGAGTAAAAAGAGAGTATAGGTAGGTAATTTACTAATATTTATTTTTCTGTTTTACAAAATATCCACAGAATCATTGCGCAGTTAACTTGAGCTTTTCTGCCCTTTCGACGTCATTAACATTTAATTTATTTATTTGCGCCGACCAGAACTTGGATTTTGGAAGAGATATTCTAATTGGGGCGGTACAGTAAATAAATTAGCTGTTTCTTGTGGGGGTTTGTAATTTTTGGCAATTTTTGCAAACTAAAAAAATGAAAATAAATAAAATATTTATATTAATTTACCTGTTCTTTAATTAAATCTAAAGCCCCTCCAGTATTTGCCCAACGCTGTAACCTTTGTAAATTGTCAAGTCCAAAAGCGCGGTCAACATGGCTGAGCAATTTTGCTTGACTGTCTAGTTTTTGACTACCTAAAGCTACCTAAATAAAGAAATCTTGATAGAGTTTTCAGAGAAAAGATTAATTACCTCCATAATATCAATAGCAGCAGCTTCTAAAGGTGTACCCTGTTCAAAGTGAGTAATTACTTGATTAAAGCCTTCATCTGCCTTGTTAATAATATTTAGAAGAGCAGAAGGTTTTACCTAAAATTCAAAATAATCTTTTCAGAGTGTTTATAATTCTCTCTTACAGTTGTCGCCTCATTTTCCGGCACAGCTTCTTGTGGAGGAGCTAAAATCCCCATACCAGCAACCGGTGGAATGCCAATCGCGTTAGGTATTGGACGAAATGGTGGAAGCATTGGAATACCGCCAGAAACAGCCCCGCTAGTTCCAATAGGTGGAGGTGTTTGAGGAAGAGCAGAGCCGGGAAGGGAAGCAGAAGGCCCATAACCATCACCATCCGGTCCTTTCTTATTTGGAATTAATGCAGAATCGCCAGTATAAAAGTCTTCAGGTTTGAGAGGAGGTTCAACTTGGGCATCGGGAGGAGGAGGTTCCCAACCACCACGACTTTTGCCTAAAAATTAATTTAAATAAAAATCTATTTTTTGTCACTAAATTACCATTACTTCCCCCAATAACTCCATTATTTCCAAATCCCCCACCTCCACGACCTGCAGAACTACTGCCAAAACCTCCAGCTCCGAAAAATTCTTTTGGCGGAGCTACAGGGCGAAGACCAGAATTTTCAGGAATAACAAAAGCTTCTTCTGGGGGAGGAGGTGGTGGTGCAGGAGTTCTAAAAAATATATTTTAATAAAATATTTTATTTTAACTCGAAAATTCTACTCTAAATTAATTATGTAATTAATTAAATAGTTAGAGAATATTTTTAAGACTTTAAGACATGAAAAAAATATTTTTTAGTTTAAAAAACATAAAGTTATTCTAAAATAAACAAACTGCGTTGTTGTTGGTAATTCTGTTGTTGTAGTAGGTATTAATGTAGTTGATACTTCAGTTGTTGTTTGTAATTCAGTTATTGTTGTTGTTGTCTGTTAAAATATTTTTAAATTAAAAAATAAAAACGATAATAATTACTTGCGTGCTAGTTGTTGTAGTTGGTGCTTCTGTACTAGATAATAATGTTGTTTCTAATTCAGTCACAAAACCATTTAATCCAAAAGATTCTTTTAAACCGGGCGGAAATGTTCCAACCTGCAAAAATTTTAAAAGAAGATTTTTCTAAATTTTCTACCTCAGGTCCAGAACCAAAACTCAATCCATTATCTTCTGCACCATTAGACAAACCAATAAAACCGGCACCAGCTTCAGAAAACCCTGGAGGTAGAGGACCAGGCCCATCTCCCACAAGTCCACTATTTCCTATAATTCCACTATCTTCTCCATGACTATTTCCTCCATTTTCCTCAATTTTTTGAGATGGTTGTGTGGTTGTTTCTTGGGCTAAATTTGTAATTAAAAATCAAAATTAATTTTCAAAAACTTGTAGCAGTAATAGTTGGTGGTCCCCCCTCTAATTTCATTGGTGGCTGTTCTCCCATTGAACCAACTTCCATTGCTGGTGCAGGTAAAGGTTGTGATGTAGTCGTTGTTGTTGTTGTATCAGTTGTTGTTGTTGACGTTTCTCTTATTGTTTGTGTTGCAACTTGGGAAGGAGGAGGTTCTCCAGGTGCTGGTGGTACTGGAATTGGTTGTTCCGAAGGTTCTTCCCCAAACAAACTGAGGGATGGTAAAGCAATAGGTAAATGACTTCCTCTTTTTTGTTCAGTTCCAAAAGCTGAATTTTCTGGTAATTGAATACTTGGACGTTGTTGGCCGTTAAGATTTTCAATATTTTGGGGTCTTCTTATTTTAAGTCTAGGGCGGAATACAACTTTATTTGGAACTAAACGGAAACGGCGTTCAAGCTAAAAAAGAGGGGAATTTTATTCCAAAGACTTCTAACGATAATTTACTTGAAGGGATTGTCTTCCCTTCTCATTATTGTCATCATTACCCTCAATTTGTAATAATTCTTTGCCAAGTTGATCTTTAATTAATTCATTTTGTTGTTGTTGACGATTTCTTATACCAAATTGCCGATTTCTCCATTCAACAGCTATTAAATAATTGTTTAAAATTTGTTATATTTAGTCGGAATTTGATTTTATGAACACTCAATTCTAAGTATAATTATTTTTATTTGTGTTCTCCAGTGGGTGGAGAGAATGCCTAGACCTTCAATTCCATTTTTGTCAGTTAATTTAAAGGAGCTACCTAAACCTTCAATTCTAATACTCCTCATTTTTACGAATAATTTTGTAAGCTCATTTAATGTCTTATATTTACATAACAAGCCAAATAATTATTGTGTAATTTTCAATAAACAATCATTTAAGTTTTGATTTATTCCGTAAAATTATAATATATAATCCTTACCTAAATTATTATTTTCATCCCCAAATAATTGTCTATTCAATAATTGTTGTTTTTGTTTATTATTACGTATTGTTTGAATAACACTATTATTATTATTATTTTTTTGTTCCTCTAATAATCGTTGTCTATGTCTGTGTCTAAGCATTCTAAGTGATGGTTGCCAAGGTTTTGGTTGTTGATTATTTGCTTCATTTTGTTGTTGTAATCGTTGTTGTTTTTGTTGTGATAATTGAGCTTCAAGAAGTGCACGTCTTGCCGAGGTTAAATCAAATTGGTCATCATTATTTTTATTTTCCTGTTCATCAATCCCCGCACTGCTACTACTTTGAGAAGGAACTATTGAAAGTAAAATAAAAAAATTTTTTAAATCACAGCTTGGGGAAATGGAAACTAATTTTAAACAATCCTTTGGGAATATATTAATAAAGATGATCTCGAATATTGGGATAAGATCGGTATATCAAAAAATCGAAATTAATGGAGCGGTTAGAATTTTTAATTATTGAAGAATGGTAAAAATGTTTTTTCCTAACAGAGGTGACGTTTTTTCCTTACGATTTCCGATTTCCGAAAAAATATTTTTTGATTTCCGATTTCCGGCTCTTCCGATTTCCGACACCTCTGACTGTTCCGACCCACCTCTGTTATCTAAGTATAGAGATAATTATAGACCTGAGATATACATAGTAGCTAAATTATTAGTTATGAGAACGTAAATACAAAATAACAATAAAGAAGATAAAGTAAAAGTCTGTTCTTAAACAAACCAATTCGATTATGTCCACCAGTCAATTTACGAGCCCTTGGAACATTTAAACCATTTCTCCTCTGAGGGCGAATAGACGAATTTGGTATTTTAATTGTTGTTTTTGGGGTTGACTGAGTTGTTGTTATAGGTGTAGTAATTGTTTGTTTTTCTGTTGTTGGTGTTGTTATTAATGTTGTTGTGGTAGTTGTTGTTGTAGTAGTAGAACTTTCTGTAGTTGATTTTGTTCTGTTTAAACTGTCCCTTAGTATTTTACGTTGTTGTTGAATCTAAAATGATAATTTAAAAAATAATAAAAAAAATTTTAACAGTTAAGGTTTCTGATAATTCTGATTTTTTCTGATAATCAAAAATATAGAAAACAAAACTAACAAGGTTTTAAAGTCTTAAATTTCATTAATAATTTTAAATTAAGAATAATGATAGAGAAGTATCTACCGACATAAAGTTGTGGTTAACAAAACGTTTGTTTACGATATTTTTGAGTTTTAAAAATCAAAAATTTACCAATCTAAATTTTCTTATAGGCAATAGAGAGGAAGATCCAGCTACAAAAGAATTATTAGAAAATGAGGGTATTTCAGTTCTTTCTTTTTTTGTTGGTTTTATTGTTGTTATTGGTGGTCTTTTAGTTGTTATTGTTTGCTCTTCACTTTCTTCCTCCTCCGATGAAGAGGAGGATGAAGATGAATGTTCAACACCTGCCTCCTAAAAATTTAAAGTTTAATAAAATATGCAGTCGGTATTAAATGGATTTAATAATATGTGGATATCTACAATGGGTTGTCAAATAAACTGAACTGGCATATAATTAAAGGTTTAGTGGCATGAGTAGACTATGTAACTTTATTATCTCTAACTTATTCTTTAGCCTATTACTGGCTAAAGAATTTATCTCAAAGTTTTTCATAAAAATAGTAGAGAATATTGAATAAATTATTTCTTTAAAAAACCTGTAAAAGTTTAAGTGCTAATTCCTCTGCTTCAGCAGAACTCATTGCCATAATTTCTTTCCCTTCTATAGCGGATGCAATTTTTGGAGGAATCTTGAAAATTATGCTTTGATTTAAAATGTTAATATTTTTTAGTTTGAGATACCTAATATAATTTAAGTAATTAAATAAATCCTTAGCATATTTCATTAATAACCCCTTTTAATTTTACTCAAAACCCCCTCCATTCCCTACCCGAGCTTTCTGAAGCATTGTTGTCATTTTTCTCCCATTTTTGACATTTGTTGGTCTATTATTGGCTAAAGAATTTTTATTTTGTTGTATTGGTTGAGAAGCAATATGCCTTAAATGTCTATGTTCTAAACTATTTAAAAATTCTGGTGTTTGTTCTTCTGTTTGTGAAAATGTTTGTAAACGACGAATTCCTTGTAAATGATTTTTGCCTGGAGAAATGGCTATCGGAATTTTTGGCAATAAATTTGTTTGGCGAGAAGGAAGACGATTATTATTTGTTTGTTGTTGTTGGGACCTAGATTGGGGCCAATTGGAATGTAAAATGGCAGCTCCTTGTTGTTGTGGATATTGCTAATAGATTTAATAATTTTTAATTAAATTAGAAAAGACGTTTAGATTAGATAAATGAATCTCGATAAATCCATTTACCGTAAATGTTCTAAGAGAACCACACTATGTATCCATTTGAAGCACACTCTCTAATATAAGCACAAACTACGAGAGGATCAAAAAATAGAAGCAAATGTGGTTCTATTAGAACATATACATTTATCTTGGTAGTTCAGGGTTTGAAGATGTAAGGAACAAGAGAGATATTGCTGTTTGGAATTTAAACTTTTATCAAACGGGGCATTACCACTATGCGGTATAACCTATAGCGATAACTGCCAGAATCTTTAAACTTATATGTACCTCACTCTTTCTAAGATTAGGGACTAGAAAAATTTTAAATTGTAACTCGAATATGTAAATAAAATAAAATTTTTATATTTACCGCTGAAACAATTGACAAATTACTTAAAAACCCAATAATTAAATTAGGAAAAATAAATAATTTAATAATTAAATCCAAAATTGTTGTTGTTTGTAATCTTTGGTTTAATTCTTTCATTATTTTTCTTCTTCTTTTAAAATTTGTGAAAAATAGGTAATTATGGCATTTCTGCATTGAAGAGAATTAAATTGGAATTTTTTAAATCTTTTTGACTGTGGCATAAAAAAGATTTTAGTTTTAGTTTAAGAATATTTTTAAATTAATTGTCATCTTAAAAAATATTAAAAGAAATATTTATAATTAAAATTTATATGTAAAAGCTTTAATTGAAATCCGTCTAATAACTAGAAACCCGTATTTAATATACACCTGAATTAGACCTTTTAATAGACCGGAATTGAATGTTTTGATTAGAGCATTTACCGAAACCCATACTTGAAGATTTTTTGTACCCGCGGAAAGCTGATTAACAATAATTTTAAAAATTGAAAAAAATTATATTAGTTCGAAAAATTTTTGTTTTGTAAAATTTAGAGTCTTGTGATCATTTAATCAACCCCATTATTTTTCTTAACTCTTAAATTAGTTTAAAAATTAAAAAATAATAATAATAAAGGAAAAAATATTCTATAATCCTAAACACAAAATTTTTTTCATCAAAAATATTTTTTCTCGCCTAATCTAATTGAATCTGTTAAGGCTAAAGAAATATTTTTAAAAATAATTCCTGAATGAGTTGAAGTAAATGTTTTTAATTTTTATTATATTTAATGTGTTGCTTAATGTAATAATAACTAATGGACTAAAAACGGGTTTAGTATTTATCTTTTTATTTGTGGCGCAAGATTTGCGTTAATTTTTCTTCTCGAATATTCATCGCCATAATCATTAGAATAAAAAGAAGATTTTAAAGAATAAACTATGTATTTAATCAAATATTGATTACTATCGATTAAGCTGGATTTTTCAAACAAAATATTTTAAAAATCATAGGTTATAAATAATTTCGAAAATTAAATTGAGGATGTATTAAGACCTTACTGTATTAACTAGTTCTGTCAACAATACAAAATTATTCTCGATTCATTTACATGAGGGTTGTGAATAATTCCTAGGTTATGAATAAGATTTTCCTAGGTTAATTCCTAGGTTATGAATAAGTCTTGAGATTAAAAATATCAAAATTGAGAGTTCAGTGGCCAACCAAAATTTAAAAAGATATCCTAAATTGAGGCTATTTGGTGAGGTTTCGACAGTATAAATTCCAAAAAGGAGGAAATAATAAACCGCCGATCCGATATCTGTCCTATTTTGCTTGTTTTTGATTTTTAACTTATCATCAGGCTATCAAGCTTGGTATTCATAATTTCACAATTTAATATATTTCAAAAAAGATTTCTTTAATTAAAGAATTAAATATTAAAGAGATTCTCACTTATTTTGAGGATTTATAAAGCAGGCAATAATTCTGTTGATGCGCAGTTAGTTACAGACGGATGCGCACCATGGGCGTTTAAAAAATAAATAAAATAGCAAAATCCGGTCATGGCTTACTTGGCTGCCCCAGATGCGGTTTTTGATGTGGTTTACTTTTTTAGTTTTTCCCATTGCTTTTTCTTATGATTTTCCCCTCAATTGGACTTTCTATTTAAAACCGGCTTTTTTTGAATTTGTTCCTTTCTTAAAATTTGTGTAAAGAATAAAATAATATTAAAATGTATTTTTATATTATTTTTAAAAAATGTTTTATTATCTACATAGATTCAGTATATAGTACAACACAATTTAAGATACCCAAGTTTATTTTTGAATTTATGTTTCCATTGAGGGGAGTCTGTCTATGCGATATCTATAATTTAGATTAGAGACCGGACTAGTAGGGTCGTACGGTTTTAAAATTTCGATAATCGAGATTTTTGTTTGAGATCTGGCCTCGATCCCGGTTATACCGATAAATTTTCCATCAATGAAAATCTATCAGAAAATGAATCCAGCTTTCATATAAAAATTTAAAAGTCCCTTAGTCTTAAAAAATTTCCTTTCTAAATAATATAAACTTTTATTTATTCTTTATTCATCTGGTAAAGAGGTCAAGGTTTGTAAATTCACGAAAAAAATTGGAGAGAATTGGGAAAAAGAAAAATCATTTGCATGAGGATGAGAAGAAGAAAGTGAATTTTAGTGAAAATTTCCGGTTTGAATTGACTCGGATAAAAAAAATATTTTTAAGATGATTTTTAATTAGAATTTAAATTTAATTAAGAATGTTAATTTATTGTTAATTTTAACAACAAGAAAAAAATTATTTTAAAAAATTATTAGATTAATGTACTATAAAGAAGATTAATTTTAATACAAAATAGAAGACCTAAATAATATCTTTATCGTTAAAATGATTGGATGTTCTATTTTCTATTTAATGTTTCCTTTTTTCTCCACAATTCTTAAAATATCTTCTCCCCCCTAATTTGCTTTTATTTTAAATAAAAAAATAAAAAAGAAAATTCAATGGATGTTGATCTAAATACCAGAAAAATTGAAAATTGATGATTTAGCTAAAAAAGAAAGGAAGGTGTAAAGAGAAAATAAAAGATGGCATCTTTTATTTTTATTTTCTTTTATTTTCGAAATCTTTTTTTCTTTGTTTTTCACCCAAATAGAGAATAAAGATGAATTTAGTTTAACCGTTTGTTTATAGTCAATTTGTGCGTTTTGTTTCTCGTAATTTAGCGCAACCAAATGTTTCCGCTAATTTAAATCGAGACAAACAAAAAAATAAATAAAGTTTTTGTGGAAACAAATAAAAATTAATTTAAATAAATGATTAATTAATTAATTGATAGAATATTACAGCATTAATATTTAGGGTAATCGGGATTTGGGGAAAAATTAGGATAAAAAACTAGTTGATAAAATAATGTCCAATATAGGACAGCGCGGAGCAAATATTTGTAGGGAACCTGGTAATAATCCTGGTAATACTCATTCAAATTAGCATTCTTTTGCATTTCTAAATCCATTGTCAAGTTCTTACTAAACCTTTTTAATTATGATAAATTATAAAAGCTGTCCACTATCTTTAGGGTATTTAAATTGGAAACATTTGTGTAGAGTCCAGGGATGTCTCAGGAACCCGAAACCCGGACTTTTTTTCGACCCGAGACCCGACCCGAGGAAAATTTTCAAAATCCGACCTGACTTTTTTTCTTGACCCGAGACATCTTTGGTAGAGTCCACATTCTTGTTAACAAAAAATAAATTAATTTAAAGATCATTAAAGGTTATTAAAACAAAAATATGTAAAATAAACTGCCTAAAAATTGACAAAATAATTTTTTGTTCCATTTTTTTATTTTTATAAACAAACAAATAAAGTTGGACTTGGATTTCTTTAGCAATGCCGACTCATTGCGCGTCACATTCTTAAATCAATGATTGACCAGAGACTATTAGAAAAAGGCGGGTTTGGCAGCAAATGACCAGAAAGCAAATAAAGATGGACGAGAACAATCACGGCTGGAAGCCGGAGGCTGTTTTCTTTCTCTCTTCGTCCACTTGGAGATGATGTGATCAACAAAGCAATATATTATTTGGATGTCTAGTGGAATATAAATAAATTATGAGAGAGATTTAGAAATTTGTATAGAATGAATAATGTGTTATTATGCGCATCTTTTTTAGTTGATACAAAAAGTAAATAGGACAAAAAAGTAAATAAACTTAGGATATTTAGAATATTTATTTTAATTAAGAATTGAAAAAAATATTTAAATTAGAATTTGTCGAAAAAATAAGAATTTTAGATGAAATTATTCAAAAATAAAATTTTAATTATTAAAAATTTAAAAATAAAAAAAGTAATAATGAAACTAAATAATTATTTAAATTTTTGTCATAATAAAAATGAATTAAATCGCTCCTCTTCTACATAAATGATTTTCTAAACGATGGTGTCTTTCTTTAATGATTATTATAGCCAGTTATGAAAATAAAAGAAACCCTTTAAAACAAGTAAATTTTGATAGATTATATTTTTAACAATCAATTTATAGCTTAATTTTTTTAGGATTTGGTAAGAAATGCGAGATATTTAGGTATATGTAAATTTATTTAAATATTCTGGATTATTTAAATATTTATAAAATTAAATTTAAAAAATAATTTTAGAATATAAATTATTAAATAAAGAAAAGTAAATGAATATAAAGTGCAATCTTCAATACTTTAAAAATGTGCGCATCTTCTCTATTTGGGGGAAAAATCAAGAAATATATCTTTAACTTGAAAAAAAGCCTTACTTTAATTTCCAGCTGACTTTTACAATTAATGACTGAATTTTTTGCTTTCAGTCGATTTAAAGTGCGCATATAGCTTTTTTAAACTGTGCAGCAGCTTTCTATTAATTCCACACCGCTAATTCCCTTTCTCCCTTACACATTGTGAAGAAAATATTCTTCTCTCCCCTCTCTTTCCCCCTTCAATCACTCACCTTTTATATATAAAAGATCTCTTGAGAATTTGACGGCAAATTAGTGTATATTTGGTTAGTTTTTTAGCTTTTAAACATCCAGCTGTGCGATTGAGAAAATACTTTTGGATGAGGATTAAAAAAAGTAGCCAAAAATGTGCTCAATAAAATTAATGACCATTTTTGGGAGAAAATAATAAAAGGTAAAAGAAATCTAGGTAATTTTCACGTTTAACTAATTTACAATGTTCTAAATTATTGTTAATTATTAAAATATTAATTATTCGAGAACTGAATATTGTAAATTAAGGTGAAATTCTACAAGATGAGTTTTGTGTGCATTCATAAAAAATCAAAAACTTGATTCCTGAGAACTACATATTTATCAGCAAAAGAGGAACTTCACAAAAAGATAATTTTTATTTTAATTAGAAGAAACTAATAGATAAACTAGATCAACCTCAACTTTTCAAAGAATTAGTTTACTTTTAGTTAATTTCATATCAGGGTGGCCCCTTACAAAACACTAAAATAGGGCGAAGCCCCACAAAAATAGGGCAAAAATAGGGCGAAATCGGCCAAAAATGGGGCAAAAATTAGGGCATAGCTTTAAAAGCTTAAGCATACTTAAAATTTCAATAAGGCGAAAATCTTGAGAATTTTGGAAGGCCAAGAAGCCAAATTTCTTCATTTTTTAGCGCCGCAGGCGAAAATTTTGATGATTTTGGGAGGCTAGAAGCCAGATTTCTTCCATTTTTTGCGCTGCTGGCAAAAATTTTAAGATTTTGGAAGGCCAGGAAGTCAGAAATCCTTCATTTTCACCATTTTTTTTACAAAATCGGAAGAATTTTTAAAATTTTACAAGATAGTAAAAATAGGGCAAAAATATGGCAAATGAGAAAATAGGGAAAAAATAGGGCGAAAAGGTCAAAATAGGGAAAATCCTCTAGAAATAGGGTAAAAGGGCCACCCTGTTTCATATCCTAAATATAGGACTAAAGTCCGTTCCAAAAAACCTCGACAACCACAAATTATTCGTATTTTCTAAACTTTTTTGTAAAATAAGTCTTTGCTGCTGAATCAATATAAAAAGATCATAAAAAGTAAACAACCGTAAGTCGATTTCTCCGAAAAATTTTGGGGTGTCGAGGTTTTTTCGAACGGACTTACTTTTAATTAATTATCTATAAAATCCCTAATCTAATTCAATACCCTACATATTCTATAGTCCTAGAAAAGCCCAGAAAGCTTATAAATGTTAACCAAATTAATAAAAAAAACAAAAATTGTTGGAAAGAATTTATTCTGCGGTAAATGTTATTTTGTAATTTTTCTTTGGAATTTTTATCTTTGAGTTTTTGTATTAATTTTTTAAAAATTTTTTCCGCGTTTGAATATTTTTTTAAATTTTTTTTCTTTCCCAAAATGTTCGCTTACCCCCATAAAAGGGTTAAAATGGAGAAAAAATGAATGAAAAATTATAACAAAATAGATAATTGCCAGAAGAGCGAATTTTTTTTTGAAATTTTTAAAATAAAATAAAACCTTAAAATAAACAAAATTCGCCCCAAAAAATTTTGAAAAAAACGAAGAAATTCATATCGACCAATTATTTAAGAGAACAACAAAACGCAAGCCATAGCTCTTCAAAATAATCCCTCTTTTCTTATCTAATTTGAGCCATCTTCATCAAATCAGTATGGTGAGAAAAATGCTGCACGTCTTCTTAAAATTAAATTTAAAAAAATAAATTAACATAAAAAGTCCTTCAGTTTTTGTTAAAAAATTGCAAAAACAAAATTGAAAAAATCTTGAACAGAAGAAAAATTTCTAGGGCCATAACGAGTGTAAAAATGTAAAAACCCTACAGTTTGATCTAATCTCTTTCTCCTTTATTATAATTCGTTTCCTAGTGAATTTAGTAAGAGATTTTAATTGAATCTCTGACGAGCTCTTTCGAATGAGCTATAATATGAAAAATCGAATTTTTCACCCCAAATTGTGCTTACTCCCCCTATGGTTTTTCGATTTTCGAGAACCTATATCTCGGTCCACAGGCATCTCCGGTAAAAAAGAGTGGTACCGTCGACTCAGTGGTACCGCTCGTCGAGAGGAATCGAATGGTATGGGTTTTGTATCGAAACTAAAAACTCCGGTATACAAAACTACAGCCAATCCAATTGTGAATTCGCACACGAGGACTAGTCCCACCGTTTAGCGGGAGATACATGTTCCCTTATTGCCAAAAGTTGGCCTAATTTAAATAAAAATATAACCTCGACGCTCGTGGTCGTCCTCGCATTCCAGGATAGATATATTTGATAACAACACGTGCACGTCCGCTAGTAGAACCTCTACCTCGCGGCGGTCGATTAGTTGTACTAATGCCCGGCTTGTTTGTACGTTTTGGCACAACCTTGATTTGACGACCCAAAAAAAGAGAATCACCGAGAGACAGCGAATTCTGCATTCCATCAATATCGGCAAATTGCACATAGGCAAAACTAAAAAAAGTTAAATTAGACAAATTAATTAAATGCTAAAGAAAAACCCTTTTGGATGTCCAGTAAATTTGTCAGTCAAAATTGTAACACGCTCAATTATACCACAGCCGCGAAAATGTTCCTCAAGTTGGTCAGGTGTAGCAGCATAATCGACCTTAATTAGATTTTCTAAAATAGAGTTTCTCATTAAATAGGGAAATTAAACACAAAGACTAGAGCGATCTAAGGACTGAAAAAGGAAAAATAAATTTTACCAATAATCTCAGCCCAATAAAAAATTTTTTGGATGGATCCTTATCAGCAAAATAGAAATTATATAAGGGCACAGATTGAAACAGAATTCAAAAACTTCAAAAAATATTTATCTTAAAATGGCAGAAAATAATTAGTAAAGTTTCATTAAACTCACATTTCCCACATAAATAGACCGTCCATCGATTAACATTTTATCTTCAACTGACAGACTAGGCGCGACACCTGGACTGCCATTGTTCGATCCTTGGAACTGCTTTTCAACTTCACTTTGCATTGCACGAATCTTTTCTGCTTCCTGCTCAATCTGCCGCAGTTTTTCATTAATGTCTTCAAAATCCTAAATTATTTAAATAAAATTAGCGTTGACCTAAACTCTTAAAAGATAACAATTTTTATAAAGCAAAAGAGAATGTCTTTTTCTCCCAAAATATGTAGTTACTATACCGCACAAAATATTTTCTTACATTATTTTTAAAAACCCCTATATTAATATTAGTAAATAGGTATACATTGTCCTCTGACATAGCCACAGAAATTGAACCGGTAGCTCCAGCGCCATTTAATGTTGGATCATGATCATCACTTCCAAACGAAAGTTCGTCCTCGTTGTTTGCCATAATTAGTGTAAATAAATTTTAAAATGCTTTCTGAAAAATACAAAAAAGTATAAAAAAGTGTCTAAAAAATATTGGAAAGTAGTTTTATGAATTCTGGGACAGAATACCCTTAAAAAGCATCCAAAATAAAAATTTTAATTAAAAAACAGGTACTTTTCTGTTTTGTGACCGCACTTTAAAAATGTTTAAAAATGGTCATGAATATGGACAAACTATATGTCATTCGAAAGAGCTCTTCGAGCTGAGTCGAATGACACCAAAATCATGTGGGGTTCGAAATGGTACGGGCTCGAAATGGTCAAAACATAAAATGATCAAAATGGTCACAAATCATGAATATGACCAAAATGTATGTCATTTGAAAGAGCTCGACGAGCTGAGTCGTTGGCACAAAAATCAGCGTGATCGAACAAGATTGGACAAAGTTATGATCGTTTGTATTAGCTCCTTACCTATCGCATCTGTGGAGGTTTTGCTGCTGCGGAGGAAGCCTGAGATGCCTGCCTCATAATGATGGGAATAGGATGATGTTACGAGCCCAGAACCCAGCGACCGTAGACTCCCTGCGAGGCGCGTGACGCAAAACCCCGCGCGAAGCGCGGGGTTTTGCACAAGCGCCTTGCCTACGCACCATAGGTTTATGTTGACCATTTTGAACCTTTTTATCTTGGCTCAAAATCAAGATATCGAGCTGATTTTGGTGTCATTCGACTCAGCTCGAGGAGCTGAGTCGAATGACATATAGTTTGTCCATATTCATGACCATTTTTAAACATTTTTAAAGTGCGGTCACAAAACAGAAAAGTACCAAAAAACAAGCTGAATTATCACTTTAAAGCTGCATCGATTTTACGAAAACGGCATTTCATTGCTAACGTTTTAGTGGCTGTTTGGCATTTTGTCAAAAAATTTCCGTCACACCCTTTGTCAATGGACCTTGAGTCAACGAACGTTTCGTCATTCACATTGTTTAGAAATAGGACAACTTACCGTCAGATTTTTACTGAAAGTTAGAAATTTTTAAAATGGGGAAAAAATAATAATAAACTTTAGTAATTTTATAATCTCAGAATAGTAAACAATTTACAAATTTTATCTCATATATTGACAGTTTTTATTTGAAAGAAAAATTTGAGCGAGTTAACAAAACAATAAAAAATTTTTTTAAAACTACATCATTTTCATTTTCTTGCATTCATTTGCCGGTTCCACTTCAGAAACAATAAATTTACGATAAGCATCACGAATCGTTTGAAATGCTTTAACATCTACATATGGTAACCTTGTAAGAGGGTCCATATAGCGGGCCGATTTCCCTGTCACAGAACATACACGATATTCGCGCTTCTTAGGTCTGGAAATATTTTAATTATTTTTCAAAATTTAGAAAGTTAAATAAAAAACAAACTTTGGAAATAATTTTTCGTTTGGAAGTAATTCAGGAACCAAAACTAAATGTTTGCCATCCGCAGTAAACATTTCTTTTATTCGAGGACCATGCAAAATTTGGCGCGGGATTGCTTTTTGTTGCCGTTTTTTCCGTTCCAATTCAAATTGTTCGAAGCGTTTAAGGGATTCAATATTCTGTACAGCCTGAAAGTAAAATTTAGAAAAAAAATTTTTAAAAATCCAAACTGTATTCTTCGCTTCTTCCAGTCTCTGACGTTGCGTTTTAGGGTCACAACTATTCTCGGGAACGGACATTTTATTGATGCGAGCAATCGCCCAATTTTTATCACGTTCTAACATTTGTTTTTGCCTCAATCTCTAAAAATAATAGAAATTCTTTTCGTTTTTGTATTTTTTTTTGTTTGACAACTTTAAAAATTTTTAAAAAGTTCCGGATGCCGCGTACATTCAAAAGCCAATTTATTTTTAACAATAATCCCGAAATTAAAGTCTAATTTAATGAACCTTTTGTCTTCTTTCGGCACGCTCAGCCTCATCAATTAGGCCGTCCTCTTTCCCTTCCTCATCGTTTTCCTCTTCTTCAGGTTGATCAAAGTCCGAATCTACCTCATCATCTGAAGAATGAGGTGGCGACTCAAAATCATCATCTTGATCCACCTGAAATTAGATAAAAAATTTTTAAACATTTTTATAAAAATGACAGACTGGGACGCAAATAGCAAAACTTAGGTTCTCCAATATGGTCATTTATAAGGGGAGAGATTCGCTTACTTGTCAAACTTTTTTATTTAAAATATAAGAACGAAAGGAAAAGGTATAGTTGACTAGTCCCGAGTAAATTATCCCACATAAATCTTGCTCAATTTTGATTTACAAATAATCACCCCTAACGAATCCTTTGGCCATAACGGAGAATAGAATTAAAAATAAAAACCTCTTTAAATCCTCCATAGATTGCTGAATAAAATTCGTCATTATCCCCTTCTTTGTTTAACTGTTGTTGAATAAGTTGTTGCATATTCCGACCAGCATTTTCCCGTCGAGATCTGTTTGGAACCATCTGTTAATTAAATGTTTAATGCCCCTATATCTAATAAAATATTAAAAAGAAATATTACTTTTTATCAAAAACAATTATTTTCAGAAAATATATTTATAAACTGAAATACATATAAATAACAAAGTCAAAAAGGAATAAAAATTACGATAAAATAAAATTATAATTTTATAAAATTATGAGATGTACATTTAAATGCATAATTGACGAAATTCTGGTTTTAAAAATTGTAAAAAATGAGATATATTTGATTAAAAATTCTCGCAGATTACAAAAAAAGGACTTTCAAAAAAATATTTTTGTAGAATGTCAAAAAAATATAAAATTTTCAAGAATAAATTAAAGTTGTCCTTACATATATAGGTAATTATGTTTGATAAAATAAAGCGAGATTCCTTTTCTTTCGTTGATAAAATAAACATCCAAACCAAATTATCTATCTCCTCTTCCTCCCATCCCGTCATGTTTTGATAGGAAAGTGTCGCCCATCCTTGTCTTAGCAAATTCAATACGAATTCCTGTGCCAACACCGTTATTTGCAGACAGTCCAAAACCTTGTAAGGCATGCATAACATGAACTGCTTGTCCAACTTCGAAGAACTCAACAAAAGCTACAGGAGAGCCTCTCTTAAAAATAAAAATATTACAAAAAATAAAATAATTGATTAACCTTTGTGTGCATTCTAATACGTGAGAAACCCGGAAACATTCCAAAAACGCTCTTCAATTCTTCTTCAACAATAGATGGAGAAGTCGTCGCTGCTGGACCCAAATTTCCAACAAAAAGTGTAGAACAAGGCGAATGTTGTTGTCCAGCCATTAAAATTTGTTGTTGGCCATTAGAAGGCCAATGAGTTGCTAAAGAACGATGTTGGTGTTGTTGTTGAGCAGCAAGTGCAGCAACAGCAGCTAATTGTGGGTTTGTCGCAGCAAGAGATGCTGCATTGGTAGTATTGCCTAAGAGAGTTGAGCCGCCCTGTTTTTTGTAAAATATTAGGAAAATAAAATTGTAAAGTATGTTAAATTAAATGATAAAAAAAATTTCAAGAATTATTTTTATTTTCCAAAATTGTATTTAAGATATTCTATTTCACCCTTAGAATCTCAAAACAGAAAAAATTTTCTATTCTATTTAAAATATAAATAATTTAATTACCGCTGCAAGTGCAGCTAATTGCTGCTGAATATCGGAGCCACTAGCCGTAATTGCCAAATGTCGTTGATGATCAAGTGCTGAGGCTGCAGCTGCCAAAAGTTGTTGTTGATGTTGTGCTGCTGCCAAAACTGTTCCATTTGCCCCTCCTGCATTTACAACAGAATTATCGTGATGTTGGTTAAGTAGAACGGCCGTTAATTGCTAAAATTGAATGATTTAAATTTTAGAAAAAAAAGAAAAACCTGTTGTTGAATAGCAGCTAATTGAGCAACAGTTATATTATGTGCCAAAACTGAAGAAGGTGGTGGAAGGATTGTTGCAGTTAATCCCGATGTGACCGGTGAAATATGATTCGCCGGAGGTGATTGTTTGACAGGTTTTGTAACCTAAATTAAAATTAGTTGAGTATTTTTGCCTAAATTGTATTGTTTATGAAAAACAAAAATTAAAAGTTTATAAAATTCATGAAAATTTTTCAACGAAAAGAAAAAATATTAAGCCAAAAAAAAAATCTTAAAAATTAAAAACCTTTGTATTGGATCTTGCCAACTCCAACCGGAGAGTTTGAGAAAGTTCAGGATCAAACTTAACACCTTGCAACTTTTGCCGAACATCATCTGCATCTTGTCGACTAGCAAATGTCACAAAACCAACTGGAGTTGATGACTTCGAAGTCCCATTTCTATTTGACAAAGTCATTTTAAGCTGTGAAGATTCATATCCAGGATAGGCACGAAAAAGAAGGTAAAGCTCTCGTGATTTGACATCAGCAGGCAAACCAGAGACGAAAAGAGTTCTGACCTGAAAAAATAATTTTTTAATTTTTAGAAACAAAATATTCAATATATAAACCTGTGATTGAGCTTCCGAACTGCCATTTCCATACATTGCCCCATTATTTGTTGAAATAACCGAATCCAATGATTCCATTGAAATTGCATTAACCAAATGTTGGTTATTATTATTTCGTTTATTCGCAGATAAAATTGCATTTTCATTTGATGAATAAGAAGAAGCTGTATTATTTACCATTTTCATTAGTTATAAAATTTGTGCGAAACAGTGTTGTTTGTGTGGAGTGTGGAATGTGGCAGAAGAAAAGTGATTGGTGCAAACAAACTTCGCAAAATATTTAGATTTGTGCGTGGTTTTTAAATGGAATGATTGTGCTGGATGTTTAAAAAATTTAAAAAAAATGAAAAAAAAATTTTAATTGGACAATTAAAAACACTGAATAGGTCCATTTGTCAGTTTGTTAGAATTCCCGGTAATATGTATTGAACCGGACAGACCCCCTTTTTCCTTCCCCAATTTTTCCCCTATAAATGGGAAATAAAATATCAAAAATAATCTTCTTTTTGTTTGATTGTAGGCAAAAATTACAAAGGCAATTTGGATGGAAGAAAGGAAAAAGTCTGACCATTTTGCAAAAATTGGGGAGGAAAAAGGGGGGTCTGTCCGGTTCAATATTACCGGGAATTCCCCGACTCACGATCCTATTTTCCCGATTTCAGAGATCCTTTTACTTTAACACGTCTCTAGAACATAAATAAATATGGAGAAAGGTTGTGCTAACCAAAGAATTTTATAATATCTCATTCGACTCAAATCCTATAGAAAAATACATATAAATATAGCAGCAATTTTTCCTAAAAACGATCGCTTATTCACAACTTTAATGACCTATACTAGATGGAAAATAAATAAATATATGCAGGTCATGTTTTTTATTCTTCATACTAGATAGTCTGTGGGTATTTCACGAAAAGTGTCTTATCGAGCAATTTTTGTATGAGGGTGAATTATTGAGGGATAAAGTTTTTTTTGGAAAGAGGAATCATTTTTTTAAATATTTTGAAATAATTTTTTTCAAAAATGGATTTTTAACTTTTTTGTAATTAAATGGGTCCACCCCAGAGGTCAAATTGCCCAAAAGGACAAAGACGTATTTTGTGCGGATAAAGGTGACTCATGTTCAAGAATAGTTTGCCTGCTTCCTTTTGCATTATCCGTCAGTTTCAACTAGAGTATTTCGTCCTATGTCTCTTAATCCACCTTAATCCGTCCATCCGTCGATATCCTCCTTAATACGCACAAATCCGTCTTAATATGCACAAATCCTTATTTATCCGCCCATAATTTGTATTTTAACTTTTGGGTGATTTGACCCTCTGGGTCCTTCTAGATCATTTGATCTCCAGCTTGACCTTCTGGATTGATCCCAATTAAACATACATTTCCGTAATAATTTTAAAAAAATTGAGATAACAATACATAATAAACAAAGATATACTCAGTTAATACAAACAAAGACAAAATTTATATGAAAGGGGGTTGTTAAAAAATTGAAAAGAAGTACTAGCTAACTCTGTATAAAAATTGAAGTTAGTCCTTTATTGTAAAAACAAAAAAAAACGAAATGTGTACATAACTAGGATAATTTTCTTCGCAAACAAGAACGGTTGCTAAGCACTAACTAACAAAAAAAGTACGAGTGCGCAAGCTGGTTAACTAAAACGAGATCAATAAATATTGAAAAAGAAATGGGATATCTAGTATTTTTGGGGGATTTTAAATATAAATTAAATTTAAAATTTTATTTAAATTTTATTAGATGGGTAAAAAAAGTAAAAATGGTGAAATTTAAATGCTAATTTAATGTATACCGTATTTTCTCTATTAGAATGTCACTCTCCAGTTGAATGTCAGTCTTTAATAGAATGCCACTTTAGAAGGTGATAAGAAAAATATTATAGAATGCCATGGCATTCTAATAGAGAATAAGGTTGTCGGATAGTTGGAAATCTTCGGATATCCGGATCCGGATCCGGTATCCGAACCGAAAATTTCGGATATCCGGATCCGGATCCGGTATCCGAACCGAAAATTTCGGATATCCGGATCCGGATCCGATATCCGAACCGAAATTTTCGGATATCCGGATCCGGAACAGAAATTTTTATTTTCAAAATTTTCGCCTTCGGCGCTGTAAAGTTGAGTCCCTATGGATGATATAGAGGGATTAAGATCAATTATAAATGGATTTGGGGAAATAACAGAGGTATTGAGGGAATTTAGGAGTAACAGAGTTATCGATGTGAGTAATGCGTTATTTGGGGAATTAATAGAGACATTGGGTATTATCTTACATTTAAAATTGGTGGATTAAGGGCTACGGGTTGGGAATTACGAGAGATATTGAGGGATTTATTGATTAATCCCCTATATCCCCTCTAATCCCAAAATCCTTCAAGGGCGTATCCAGGGGGTTAGCTTCAGAGGGGCATGTGAGTTTTTACAATTGTTTACAACTCTTTCTCTTTTAGCGCCGCAGGCGAAACTTTTGAGAATTTTAGAAGGCCGTAGGCCAAAAAATTCACTTTTTCAGCGCCGCAGGCGAAAATTTTGTTAATTTTGGAGGTCCTTAAGCTAGATTTCTTCAAATTTCAGCGCCGCAAGCGAAAATTTTGGGAATTTTGGAAGGCCAAAAAGCCAGCTTTCTCCCATTATCAGCGCCGCAGGCGAAAATTTTGGGAATTTTGGAAGACCAATGGGCAAGATTTCATCCTTTTTTCCAAATTCTAGGATCCGAACCGAAATTTTCGGATATCCGGATCCGGATCCGATATCCGAACCGAAATTTTCGGATATCCGGATCCGGATCCGATATCCGAACCGAAAATTTCGGATATCCGGATCCGGATCCGATATCCGAACCGAAAATTTCCGGATATCCGGCCTTTTTTCGGATCCGGATATCCGGATCCGACAACCTTAATACATACATATAAACATTTGTGTTTTGGCTAAAATGTAAATATCCAAAACTGATAAATCCAACTAAAGATA